CAAATAAGTCCAAAGTCAAATAAATGATGTGCAAAGATATAAAATGCTGTAAAATTTATTGCAAACAGTATTGAGATATACATTGGCATCTGTTGACAGAACATATTTTGAGGTAGCAGACAGCAATAAAAAAAAAAAGTACTTGCGGACATCATTTTTGTTTTGATGCTTTTCCAGAACCCTTCTATGTTTGGCAGGAGCTGAATTTAATAGTCAATGCATTTTTGGCAGTAATCAAGTTTTTAAATATGGAGATTAAATGAAGTATTTACAAGGCACTAGTGGTCTTTGCCAAATGCCAGAATCCAATATAAATATACTTGTCTACTGCAAAAACAACTAAAATGAAGTCTTCTTCCCTTAGAATCTGAAGGAAAACTTTATGATATGGGAAAAACATATTATTATTAATTGATGTGCACCAATATTACTGCACACCCTTGCCTTTCTAATATCACAGATTTTTACATCGTTTTCTTATATTCTTTTTCTTTTGGAGTAAGGGATATATAAAGCAATGACAGGATTCTTTTTAAGAGTTTAGATTTTGACATTCATTGATCATTATACTGTATATTCTACCATAGAGAACTTTTTAGAATGAGTCACTTTAACCACGTAAACGGAGTAAGACATATGAGATAATTTGCAACCTCACTGAGTAATTGTTTACTATAAATCCCAAAAAAATGCAATACACCGAGCAGCACCAGGAAGATCAACCATAAGCCAGAACCCTTCACTGCGCATCCAGTAGAGGCGGCCCCGTTCCAGTCAGGGAGTCCAGAAGGCCGTATAGAAAAAAGTTTACTATAGCATGACATTCAGGACAAGGATTCAGGGTACCAGGTACAAAAGCCTGGTGATTACATTAAACTACAGTTTGTGAAACTGCGGTGAATGGACAGGCCAGAATTTTCTAACATGAAGGTTCAGAACAGCAAAGTTTTCAAAGTGGTTTCAAACAGCAAAATAAATGCCCAGCATGTTGGTTGTGCAATGCAGGAAGTTGACTACTCACTGCAGCACCCTGTGTTCTGGAGTCCAGTGCCCAATGCAAGAACTATGGTAAGTGACAACAGTAGGCGTAGCCTTCCATTAACCTCCATGTATACTTGAAAATCCTACATTGAAGGCCAGGGTTGCCCCTATTAAAGATGTGGCAGCACCAATCTTACAGCCATGCTGTAATGCTGCTCTAACATATAAGGCCTGTGCCCAGCAACTGAAAACACATTTTTTTACAAAATAAGGCAAAGCAGAGGATAAAAGGTTGCAGCCTCCATAGTGCTACACAGGAAATTGTCTATACACATTACTACATATTTAACATACCTATGATTGGGCTGTCTCCAACACGTCCAACCATTTTATTTGTTATTCCTCCGGTTGATGTGGCACAGGCAACATTGCCTTCAGAATCAATTGCTACTGCACCAACTGTGTCATGCATTCTAAGAAATAAATAAAGAAAAAAGAATAATTGATATTTTGTTAGTGAATTTATCACAATGCATCTTTTCAACTTTGTGTTGGCACTGCCATCTCACAGTATTTTTATGCACATAAACCCAACTGAAAAGATAGCTGTCCAGTGTTGAAAAATCACATAATTGTTCAGCAGGAAAGGTGAAAAAACTGTCGACAGGATGTACTTAATTGTTATTTTCTTAATTTTCTTTATTTTCTTAACCACTCCAAAAAATTTTCAACTTTTTGAGTTTCTTTTCACTTAAAACAATCAGCTATTCATTGGGAATTGTCTGAGTAACGAGCCACAGTTCTAAAAGTTGGCAGCTGTATAGTGGCCAGTATAGGATATCTTGGTCAGCTGATAAGAACTTTTTGTATTCCAGTGATGTTGTGATTACCCTCTGCCTTGGCATAGGGCTGTGCACCTTTGTTGCTGGAAAGTGTGTTGCATAGTCCTGCCTTCCAAATAGTGATTCATGCTCCACTCAGGACCCTATAGCACATACTGTATCCCAGCCCCGGAGGAAGATGTGTTGATGCAGGGGCCCTTAATTGAAGCACTTGCATACGCTGGCAAGGTGACACTGTTACATATTTTACAAGGATAGATACTTGCATGTTTTTATATATTTCTAGGATCCATGTTGAAAGATTTCATTCCTTATATAGGTGTGAGAGGGCCTGACTTGCTTTTCACCTGGCTTTGTAAGCTAAGGGTAGAGCTACATGAGCTTGTTTGCACCACTGAAATTGCTAAGGATTAATTGCTAAGTGTATCAGTCATTTGCTAAACAGACAGAAAAATGGTCCCCTATGGTGTAAGTTACACAAGTAGCATATAGTAGCAATCAATTATATACAATTGGAGAATTCTGTGATAAAGAGAAGATATTGATTACTACATGCTACCCATGTACCTTACATTACAGGGTAGAGCTATGTGTTGCATCTGTCAAGTGATTAATCACCCCCCTTAGATGTTAATCCTTAGCATGAATAAACTATGGAGCTGTAGCATAAATGTCCATGAGGAATTCTTTGTATACACCTATGAAGAATGAACCAGAGATTGGGTGACATAACAGTAAATCCCATGAAATATAATTATGTTTTTTTGGGAACTTTAGTGGAGATGCAAGATCGTTGTTAATAAATGGGAGTTCAAGACTAAATCAACTTAAAGCAATTTAATAAAAGATTCCTGCAATGTTAGAAATAACTAGGCATGGTCCATTTTCCAGTTAAATAATCTCCTAAAGCTCCAGCATTAATTGACTTCTAAATGTTCAGTGATCAGAGGAAGATTCTTTTTTTTAACATATAGTTTTTATTAAATTATAGTCATACAAGGAAGTGTTGTACATCTTAGAACTCAACATCTAATGTCATTATATGAAAATCAATTCTTAGCACTTGACAAGTTTACATAGGGATGTAAGCGAATAAGGTAGTGCTGGGTGGCAGTAATTATCCAAGCATTACAATGTATTGAATTGTTACAGACGGTATAGAAAATAGTCATGTACAATTTATTGACCTTTGTATCTTTCGCTCTTAGCATCATACTACTGGTTTGACCAATAAAACCTTATAAATCGCAACAAGCTTTTAAAAGATTCCAATTGTATTCTCTGGGTGGGGCGACCCATACGAAGAGTACATGGCTCCCAGTCAAAAAGAGTTTTTGGTGCTTCAGTGTTTATGGGGAGTGCAGGCGAACCGCCTGGGATTGGAAGATGCTTTTTATTGAGGGAACATTACTCACAAAAGTGTCACTGGTAATTAAATTTTGACATAAGATGAATGGTACCAAATTAGCACATTGCCACGTAGGGAAATTCCTGGGCTATTTTTATTTTTACCCTGTAGGAAGCACCTAATTTCATTTTATCCATTGAGGAGCTGTTCACATGTTTTCTGCCTAACTCTGTCATGGTAAATTCAAGGTGACAATGAATGCATACTTTTCTAAAACTCTTTTTGCAGGTTTCCCAATGCACCTGCTGGTCTGCTTTAATCCCATTCCATATGTCTGCAATATGAATAACATTGCAATGCAGCAATAAAGGGAAAAGATGCCAAACTTAGTCTGCAAGGTTGGTTTTCATTTTTTTTACTCTATATCTGTTCATAAAGTGTACTGTGTTTTTTTTCTTTCTACTATCTGTTTGTATGTGCAATACTTTCTCAGCAAAATAAAATTAAATGTTATCTGTTCAGATTGGGTAAGATCACTCATCACTCACACTGGCCATATTATCATTAGAAAGGTAGGAAACAAAAATTGTCTTAAGCTGGCCGTACACCTATAGATTTTCTATAGATTTTTTTCTCTCAGCCTATGGTCAGATGGTAAAAGTGCAACAGATTCTGTTCTTAGAAAGAGGTCAGGAGTGGCAGCTCCTATATTTCTCTCCCAACCAGTTTTCTTTACTTTTACTCTTAAATGCACAAGTTCTTTTGAATTGTCTGAGATCTATCTATCTATCTATCTATCTATCTATCTATCTATCTATCTATCTATCTATCTATCTATCTATCTATCTATCTATCTATCACTATCCACTGAGTGTAGACTAAGAACCCTTCTGATTGGTAAATTTGTGCAACTGATAAGAGACAATGGCACAATTATTAGAAATCTAGATT